GTATTCAAACATATGAGTCTATGGGAGCCGTTCTTACTCAAACCTCCATAGGTGGCAACAGCTTGTAATGGAACCCCACTGACCACCAACAAAAAGAGGTAAATCCATACTTAGCCACAGACTCTTCTTTTGACAGCCTATGTCTGGGAGAGAGTCATTGTTTCTGCTGTTATAGGGTAACTCCTTTTTTCTTGTGTATTTATATTTTAGGAAGCTTCTACAGTAGTAGGTTTCCATGTGGCATGTTCAAAGGTCTTAGTATTTATCCTTCCCTATGCTCACTGCTCTATCCTATCCTCCTATTCCCAACCCCATTAACTCTTTCTGTTCCATTATTCTTCTGCGCCTCCATGCCTTCTGTGTTCTGACCCTCTTCCTTTGAAATCCACTCCATGACCCCTTACTGGAAGCTTCAGTGTCATGTAAACATGTAAAGAGTCAAAGATAAAATTTAAAGTTACATCTATCTATCTATCTATCTATCTATCTATCTATCTATCTATCTATCATCTATCTATTGTGTGTGTATGCATACTCAAGTGTGTACACATGGCTGCATGGGCTCACACATAAGTCATGATGCATGGGAGGAGGCCACAGAATGTCTTGCAAGAGTCAGTTCTTTGCATTAGTTGGATCCAGGGATTGGATTCAGGTTGTCAAGCTTGGTAGCCTTTACCCACTGAACTTTCTCACTAATTTTATTTAAATTAGAAACAAGCTTGCTTCACATGTCAATCCTAGCTCCCTCTCCCTCTCTTCCTCCCTATTTTTATTTTTTGAGACAGGGTCTCTCTACATAGCCCTGGCTGTGTACACACCAGACTGGCTTCAACTCACAGAGATCCACCTGTGTTTGTCTCCTGAGTGCTGGGATTAGAGATTTGTGCCACCACACCTGGCATAGATTTCATTATATATATATACATACAACCACTGTGCTGAGATTATTGGCATGCCATCATGCCCAGCACCAATCTTTCTTTTGATGCCTTTATAAAAACCTACAGAGGTCGCAGTACTGTCTTCCTGTCATCAGCCGAGGGGTGCAGGGGAATGTTTGATATATTCTTTAAGCAGTGAGGAATTAAGGAGCTGAGAAGGGGTGTTTGTTCCTCAGTACTTCAAGGACCCTCACCTTCTACCTTCTAGCTTTCACATGTAGGTATTTAATAGATGTGGTTTATTATTGCTATTTTGTTTTATGTGTATGGGTGCACAAAATGAATACAATACTTGTGGAGACCAGAAGAGGATGTTGGTTTCCCTGGAACTGGAGTTATAGGTGCGGCACCATGTGGGTGCTGGGCACTGAACTCAGGTCCTCTGGATGAGCATCAAGTTCTCTTGACAACAGAGTCCTTTCTCCAGCCTCTTTGTTATTGTTTTAAAGATAGGTCTTATTCTGTAGTCCAGGCTAACCTGGAATTTATGTAGCCCAATCTAGCCTTAAAGGCACATCAATCTTCTTGCCTGAGCCTCCCACGTGCTGAATATACTCACGAACCACCATATCTTGCCTTATAGTACTTAATTAAAATGCTTGGCAAGACCTAGTTTAAAACATTAAATGTAGTAACATCATTAGATCCAGAATCTTGCTTCCTAATGAACTGTAAGAAAGAAAAAGCTAGCTGGGCCTTGGTGGCACATGCCTTTAATCCCAGCACTTGGGAGGCAGAGGCAGGCGGATCTCTGTGAGTTTGAGGCCAGCCTGGTCTACAGAGTGAGTTCCAGGACAGCCTCCAAAACAATACAGAGAAATCCTGTCTTGAAAAACAAACAAGCAAACAAACAAACAAACAAAGCTAAATAACTGCCTAAAGATGTTCACAATTAATTCCATTATAAAAAGTTAAACTCTTTAAACTGGTTAAATCAGTGAAGATCTTCCTTATGTACTGTGTTGTAACTGTGAATGATAATAGTTGCTATGTAGCACCATGGCAACACCAGATGGTAAAAGAGTAGGCTGTATCACATGACTAAAATTTTAAAAATGTGCTTAAAAGGGGGCTATGGGAAAATTTTTAAATAGTATTTTGAGATGAAGGATTTCCCTTCTCACTATTTAAAAATATTATCTTTAGTTTTTTTGGGAGCTAGCTCTTTTAAAGATAAATTAGAATTTTTCCTTTTGAAAATGGCAGTTGGTAGAGTGAAGGGTACTGGAAAACTAGTAGTGATCCCTTTGAAGTTAAAATGAAAGCATTTTAAAGCCAGAATTGCTTTATTTAGCAATATGCACACTGACTATTTAATTTTGTCCTTTAGAAGGGAGTTGGCCTCACACAATTGCTGGGAAGCTAGAATATTGAAGAGGATTGGTAAAAAAGTGGGAGGATCAAAGCCAATGTGATTGGCTTATTCTTCTGCATTACCAAATAAACCAAGCTTTTGAACTGGATCTACTTTAGTCAATATTTGGGTATTTGCTTTGAAGCTATTTGTTTGCGATAATGCCATTATCATCCTCAACAGAGCCAAAGTCTGACCCTGAGATGGTAGAATCTTAACTAATTTTGTCATTTTATAGAAATCGAACCCTTTGAGGACATGATGTACCATTTCTTGTACCTTCTTGTTTTGATTTTGGGTTCAGTGCTAATTTATGACTATCAAAACCTATATACCCCACACTTCATGTTATCACCCTATATTCATAGCTAGAATGGGAACTGGTAACGAGTTGAGAGAGAATAGGAAAAGATAGCACACTGAGGAATTGCAGACCATTGTCACCCTACTGACCAATCCAGCTCTTTCCTTATTGGGACTCATTAGTGACTTTGTCTTAGGACTCAGTTGTACTTCTCTTCTGTTGCACTGCAAGGAGAGAAGTAAGGAAAAGGACACCATGCCAAATAGTTTTAACCTTAGGGCCATTGTTTTTAGCTGCCATTAGGAAGTTAAGTTATAGGGACTACTGCCCTAAACAAAAATAGGTAGAAGACGTTTGCAAGCTGTTCCCCAAAGAAGAAATATAACAAATGAGATTATGTGTAGCAGAATGGATTGTAAATAAGAAAATAAGTCTATTGTAAAGGAAAAGCATTTGTGGGTTTTAGTTTTCAGACTTCGGGCCTTGCAAGGCCTTTTCTTGATGGTCTACTCAGTTCTAGTAAGTGTAATAGGGAGAAGGGATGTGAAGTATACATAGCTTTCACATGGACTCTGTGGCTTTCACACATCTTTTTTTTATCCATACACTATTTTCAAGTAGCATTTACAAGATCATGTGATCTCATGTAGTATGTGGGAAAGGCAGGATTCAGGTAGCTCTCAGCAGCTTATTTTCCTTTCCTGTTCCATAAAACCTGACTCACCTCTGACAGGGAAGTGTCCTCGTGCCTGTCTAGAAGGTGCTGCAGGGACTGGAGAGATAGTTCAGCACTTAAGAGTAGCTCACATAGAGTAGCTCACAACTATCTGTAATTCCAGATCTAGGAGATCCAACAGGCATGCACGTGTGCACATACACGCACATATGCAAAACATGCACACACCCAAACTAAAAGGACAGAAGCCTAATATTTTCCTTTTTAAAAAAGAAGATACTTAGGGTCTCCAGGAAGATAAACCCAGCAGTAAGAATAAAGCAGAACCAAAAGGACTGGAAAGAGAGCACATGTGGCTACTGGAGGCCATCACACTGATAGAGACAAAGATGGGACTTCTACATGAAGCAGTGTCCTGTTCAGTGAGGCTGAGGAGACGAGTGGGTTACCTGTCCATGGCAACTGTGGATTTGGATCTAAAAATCCATCTGGTTAAGGCTTGCTCACCAGGAAGGCGCCTTTAGGAGGTGATGGGACCTGGTGCGGTCTTCAGATTATTGGAGATCTGCTGAGAGGGTTCTTGTGGTACCCTGACCTCATCCTCTTCTTACTTGGTTTCTGGAGACCAAGTAAGAAGTTTTGCTTTACCTTTCACTCCTGCCATTACATGCTGCTCCATCCTTGTGCTGCTCATCCTGCCAGCTCCTGCCCTTCCCCAGGGCTTAGTTCTGCTTTCATGTCACACACATGCATATACGATGTTCCCTCCCTCCCTCCCTCCCTCCTTCCCTCCCTTCCCCTCCCTCTCTCTCTCCCTCTCTCTCTCTCTCTCTCTCTCTCACACACACACACACACACACACACACACACACACACACACTCTCTCTCTCGCATCTACACAGGTAGGCACACATACACATGTGCATGAATATGCACACACGCACAAACATACTCACACACATTCACAAGTACATATGTGCAAACAAGTACACATAAAATGTATAAGTTCACATATAATATATAAAAATGGCTTCATATATTTATAAAATTTAGTGTGTTAGATTTGCCCTTCTGAGTTTGCTTTACTTTGCTTAATATCATAATCTCTAGTTGCATCCTTTCTTTAAACAAGAAACATAATTTCGTTCTTCTTTATGGCAGACTAAAACTCTATTGTGTTTATACACCATATTTTCTTTATCCAATCCATTGGTCTATTGCTGGAATATAGGTGGATTCTATAGCTTGTCTATCATAAATAAGGATCTCTGGGATGTGTTATTTAGAGTCCTTTGGGTATATACCCAGAAGTACTACAGTTATGTAGTATTTCTGTATATTTTTAGTTTTTTGAGAAACTTTCAGATTGGTTTTCATAGTGGCTGAATCAGCACACACCCCCAGCTCTGTATAAGTGTCTCCACCCTCATCCTCACTAGTGTTAATTTTCTTTTCTTTTTATTGCTTGTTTGTTTTCTTAATGAGTGCCATTCTGATGGGGACAGGATGGAATTTCAGTGTCGTTTAAACTTGTGTTTCTCCAGTAGCTAAGGATGCTAGACATTTTTTCCACATGAATATTGGCCATTTCTACTTTATCTTATGAGAACTGGCTGTTCATTCATAAGTTAATTTACTGATTGGGTAGTTTGAGTTTTTGGTATTTAGTGTTTGAGTTCTTAATATAGTCTAGATCTTTTTTTTTTTGTAAAAAGTAACAAATAATAAAAATGTGGGCTTTATTAGTCAACTACAGTCACAATGCAGTCGTCATAGATCTCCCCTTCGGTATTCATCCCACCGAACACGAAACAGAGCGACATGTTAGTCTGACTTTCCTCACCACCCTGAGCCACGTGTACGCCAGCAGCACCCGTTCTCTCAGCTTCACAGTTGAGAATGACAGAATCCGAGTCTTCATTCTCAGAGGTGGACGGCACTGGCCATGGGATGACACACATGGAGTGGTCCAGTCGTCCAGGAGGTAGGAAAGGACCAAACTGAAGGGAGGTCCAATGCTGCTTTTCTGTGTGATACTTGTACATCGTGTTCAGTGCTCCAGTGGGAGTCATTCCTCCAAACACATACACATGTTTTCCCACAGCCACAGCAGCATGGGCAGCGCAGGCCGCTGGAACAGCCCCTGTGGGACTAAGCTTCTGCCATTTCATGTTACTTATATCAATGCAATGGAGATCATCAAAGAACTTGTCCCCTGACAAGCCTCCATGGATGAAGAGTTTTGTACCAGTTGCCACCATCACATGGCCATGCCGAGCAGATGGAGGACTTCCATGTGTCTCTGGCTGAGACCACATCAAAGTGTTTGCGTCAAATACATGCAACTTCACGTCCTGCACAGGCTGGGCACCTCTCTCTCCTCCTCCAAAGACATATAGCTGGTCTCCAATGGCTGCTGATGATGTGTGGAATGTTCTTGGGGATGGCGGGGAGCTGCTCACTTCTGGTGTGGTCCAAGTTCTGGTTTCAGGATCCAAGACTTGTAGACAGTTTCGATTTCCTGACTGGTCCGCACCCCCAAACACCCAGATGCTGTGAGGGGTGCAGGAGGGGATGAAGCTGGCGTGCTCATACCGAGGCAACAGACCTTCCGTGGTGGCCGTGTCCCACTGCTGTGTTCCCAAATCCATGATGTGCACATCTGAGAAGCTTTGGTTTGGATTTGCTCCCCCTACGATGAAGACCTTCCCTCTCTTGGCATCACCAATTGGGGGTAAATAGGAGCAGCTGTGGCCAACTCGAGGGCAGGGTTTGTCTCCAGGGCGAGTCAAGGTGTACCATGTAGCTTTCCTGGGCTTGTCTCCAGGCTCCAAGACTGGTAGCTGCTTCATGATGCCCAATGGGCCCGCGGAGAGAAGTAGGGGAGTTAAAGAAGAGATGCACCGGTGAGGTCCACCTACGGCCTAGGCTACTGACCACAAGGTCAGAGCTCAGAGGGGCCGGCTTCGCAAGAGCCACCTCCTTTACATCTTCTCCCCCGGCCACATCTCCGCGAAGAAGCCAGGATCGGGGAGTAATGGCTGCCTGCTTTCCGCTAATGCGGCCGGGCGGAGACCAGGGACACGGTCCCTTCCACCCAGCTAAGGCACACTTCGTGAGAGGAAGGGAATCCTCTCTCCTCCAAGTGACCCCGCCCAGATATAGTCTAGATCTTAACCTTTGGTCAGATGCAGAGGCAGCAAAGGTTTTCTCCCATCCTGTTGGCTGTTTCTTCATGTGCCTTTTTCTTTTGCTTTGTAAAAGGTCTCTGAACTAAATGCAGTCTTGTTGTCTGCTTGGGCAGTTTCATGGGCCAGTAGAGCTCTTTTCACAAAGTCCTTCCCTATGCTTATACCGTGAAGTGTTTTTCATATGCTTTTTTCTAACAGTTTCAGGTTCGGGTCTAGCAAGATGCAGTAGAAGTTCTTAGAAGAGTATTGGGAATGTATCTTTTCTTTTTCCTTGCTTTCTCGAACCCCTGCTGCACAGCCTTCTCCTTTGCTATACCCCATAAGCAGTGCTTGCTTAATGCTAGGTTGTCAACATCTTGACAAGACTTTTTTTAGGTTATTTTATTTTTTTATATGGGGGAGTGTTTTGCCAGCATGTATGTCTATGTACCATATGTGAGTCTGGTGCCTGGGGAGGCCAGAGAGGGTTATAGATCCACATAGGACTGGTATTATGGTTATGAGCCACTATGTAGGCTCTGGGAATCAAACCTGTGTCCTAGAAGAGCAGCCAGTGGTCTTTAACCACTGAGCCATTTCTGGCTCCTTGCAATTCTTAATCCTTATTTGTTTGGTGTGTGTGTGTGTGTGTGTGTGTGTGTGTGTGTGTGTGTGTGTGTATGAGAGAGAGAGAGAGAGAGAGAGAGAGAGAGAGAGAGAGAGAGAGAGAGAGAGAGAGAGAGAGAGAGTGTCTGGAGTAAGGTAGGGGTGTAGCAGTGACAGTGTGCACCGTACAGGCTTTAGGAGTAAACTTTTTCCTTCCACCATGTGGATCTTGGGGATTGACCCTGGTCATCAGGCTTAGTAGGAGGCACCTTTATACACTGAAACATCTTGTTTACCCCAACATCTTGACTCTTTATTTGTGGCATTCACTATGTAGATCAGGCTGGCCCTAATCTCAGAAATCCACTTGCCTCTGCTTCCTAAGAGGCAGGATCAAAGGCTCGCGTCACCATACCTGACAATTATTAACTTTATATTTGATCTTGGTGTGTAATAAAGCTCGGGGACAGTGGAGTCTGGACTGGTAGATTTGGACCGTTTGCTCCTGCACCTTAGGAAGGACTTTTGGTGTTAGTTTCCTGTTTGCTGTTTCCTGGCTTCTTCTTTTTTTAATTTAAATTAAAAACAATCTTATTTTACATATCAATCCCTTCCATTCTCTCATCCCCCCACCATCTCCCCATCATCCCCCATCCACTCCTCAGAGAGGCTGAGGCCTCCCATGGGGATCATCAAAGTTTGTCACATCCTTTAGGGCAGGACCAAGGCCTGTTCCCCCTATCCCCCCCACCCCCATCTATGCTGAGAGAGTATCCTTCCATAGGGAATGGGCTCCAAAAAGTCAGTTCATGCACACACCCGTGTTCAGTCTTAGGCAGGCTCCCCAGCTGTTGTGAGCTCCCACTTGCTCAGGTCAGCTGTTTCTGTGGGTTTCTTTAGCCTGGTCTTGACCCCTTTGCTCATCACTCCTCCCTCTCTGCAACTGGATTCCAGGAGTTCAGTTCAGTGTTTAGCTGTGGGTTTCTTTGCTTCTGCTTCTATCAGCTACTGGATGAAGGCTCTGTGATGGCATTTAAGGCAGTCACCAATCTCATCGTATAGGGTGTTTCCTGGCTTCTACCTCATGTCTGCTGTACCTCCCGCATGAGTCACACGAGGCAGGGAGGACCTGGGCTGTCAAGGATGCTGGAACCTCTTGGTCTTGTGGGGTGCATCATTGGATACCTCCACCATTGGCAGCTGTGTTTGTAAATTTGGTAGGCAGCTGACCGCAGGGTCTGGGTCACTGAACTAACCCATCCAGGGTTCAGGGACTTAATATGTCTGAATATGGAGGGTTACAGCTCCTTGACATCCTTGTTTGCCATGGAATGCATAGGTGGTCTGGTGGCCTACTCTGTGGGCTGCCTCAGCATGCACTTGTTGGGCACCTGTGGTACTGAAGCATCCTTCCAGCTCCAGTGTGGTAATTTTTTTTTTCTGTCTTTGGGGGATTGCCACCCAGTCCAAATCAATGCACGGAGACTTATTCTATATACCTCTTTCCTTCTTACTCCATGGCTGGTTGTGTGACTGGGTAGCTGGCCCCTGGAGTCCTCTTCTCCTGAGAAAAGGGCTGTCCTTCTGCTCAGTTAACACTAAAGAACCCTCACTACACTTAGTCCCCCCACCACTTCCTGTCAGCTAGCTGCTGATTCACTCTCCTGACCCCTGTAACACATCTTTGCATCGTTAACAAAGGTAGCAGAAACAAATGTAATGCACCTTTACATAGTTAAAATAATATTCCTCATCTCCCCGGAAGGAAGGAGCTGCACTTTTTCAGATGAGTCAGTAGCTAAGACTTAGAAGTGGCTTCTCTGCCTCCTTCCAACACCCTAGTCCGACTGGGTTTTTCCCTGTTGGATGGTTTGAGTTACACACTGTGAATGAGCTGTCAGATGTGTGCGTGTGTGCGTGTGTGTATTCTGTAATTTCAGTGATTGCACATATAAGTGGTCTTACAGTGGCATATAAAACTGACTTGCACAGCACAGAGGAAATGGTGGAATTTATGCTAGTAATTAACATTTTTCTATATTTGTGACCCTGCACAATATTGCTAGCCACTATATTGATGTGTTTCAAAGTGATTCATAAACTCCACTAGTAGTCAGGTCATGGAAAGATGCATGAAATGTGATGTATGATAAATGGATTGTGTGCAAGCTGTGGCCAGCTGAGTCATACCACCATCTGCACTGTATTTCCAGCACATGCGTTATATCCCTGCTGTATGTGGCATTTTCTTCTAGAACTGCTTTAGTCTAAGCACGATAGATTCCTTTCCAACCAGAACTTAATTTACTTCCTATCCTTCTGACTTTTGGTTTCTTTGTTTTTGACTTTGGGAGTCCGGGAACCTTTTGTTGCTGTTTTGAGACAGGATCTCACTATGTAGTCCCAGCTGTCCTGGAACTTAAGGAGATCAGCCTGTCGCTGCCTCTGAAGTGTTGGGATTAAAGGTGCATGCCACTATGCCAGCCCCCCCCCCCCCATGAAAAACAGCCCTATTGTTTGTTTTGAGCACTTGCTTTAGTTTCTTTTCTGTTGCTGTGACAATATGCCCTGACAAAAGCAATTCACAGGGAAGGGAGTTAGTTCAGCATAGCAGGGAAGTCACAGCTGCTAGAGGTGAGGGAGTTGGTCACATGACATCTGTAGTCAGGATCTGAGAGCAATGATTGATGATGCATGCTGTGCTCAGTTGACTCCTTTGTCTTCCCCTTCATTGAAGTGCTGCTACCCACAGTCAGATGGGTTCTCCACCTAATTAACTCAGTTAGGAAAATCTCCCACAGACTAATTTGCTCTGGTCAGTTTTTTTTTTTTTAATTGTGATTCTAGATTGTGTCAAGTTGACAATGAAAACTGCCCATCAAAACCCTCCTGTGTAATAGTACTCCTAGGGACCACCCATCAAAGCCCTCCTGTGTAATAGCCCTTCTGCTCACCCCTCATTGGCAGCCTATGTGTTCTGCCCTCACAGGTCTGGAACCCTATTAACTTTTAGTCTACTTCTTGGCATTCTTTGGAACTCACCTTAGTTGCTGCACCGGACAATTTTATGTCAACTTGACCACAAACTAAAGTCATCTGAGAGGAGGAACTTCAATTAAGAAAATGCCTCCAGAAGATCAGGCTGCAGGCAAGCCTGAAGAGCATTTTCTTAATTAGTGATTCATGTTGGAGGGCCTAGCTCATTGTGGGTACTCCCATCCCTGGGCTGGTGATCCTGGGTTCTATAAGAAAGCAGGGTGAGCAAGCCATGAGGAGCAAGCCAGTAAGCAGCTCCTCTCTAGGGTCTCTGCATCAGCTCCTGCCTTCCAGCTCCTGCCCTGTTGTGGTTCCTGTCCTGACTGCCTTTGATGATGAGTAGTGATGTGGAAGTGTGAGTCAAATAAACCCTTTCCTCCCCAACTTGCTTTTTGGTCATGGTGTTTCATCACAGCAATAGAAACTCTAAGACAGCTTCATAGTCAAAGACCAATAAGCTTTGGGATTTTAAAGAGGGACCCAGAGCCAGGAATATAGCTCAGTGGTAAAGCACTTCCCATGGGTCTAATCTCCAGTACTGCAAGAAAACAAAATTGGTGGCTGGTGAGATGGCAAGAGAAGGTGCCTGCTGCCAAACCTGATGGCCTGAGTCCATTTCTAGAGCCCACATGGTGGAAGGAGAGAGTGACTCTTGCAAGTTGTCCTCTGACTTCCTCAACTACGCCCTGGCATGAACCCTCCTTCAGACAAACAAACACAAACACAGAAGTAAAAAGTGACCTGAGGTGGAAGCCCTGGTGCCTGTTACTCTAAAGGAACTCTGACCATAGTTGGGGCTGGGTTTTTCCAGACAGGAGAAACTTTAAAAATGGCTTGGTTGCCCATGAGAACGCCTTTCTCCACAGTGGGCTGGCAAGGGAGAAGCCCTGACTTTTAAAGCTGCCAGGGTATGAGAGCCTCTTGCTGCAGCCCCTTGATGCACACTAGCGCCTGGTTCAGGTGAGGGCTCCTGTTCTCACCACGCTCAGCTCAGCTCAGGCTTCCTGCTTCCCTAGAGAGAACTGGTGGTTTCTGGTCCAGGTGGGAGGGGTGCTCAGCACAGTCACTGGATACTGTTGCTGGTATTTACCCTCTGTTTGTCCTCATTATGAACCATCCCATCTGGATAGTAAATGCCATGTTACCTACTCAGTATAATGTCTTTACACTTGTCTTGCTTGTTGCATTATTAACTTTCATTTTAGAAAGATCAGCTTCATCTTGGAGCCAAGTGTGATCTGGATCTCATTACTTCCTGTGTTTGCTTTTATTCTCATGAGCTTTTCTGTTTTATCCCATTCTGCCCCCTATCAT